AGACTTCCATCGAAGTGCGAGCGATCTTCGAGGGAAAATTGTCGAAAGATCTGGTATAAGGAGGCGATATGCGTCTGAGCTCCTTCGGCGAGATCAAGAAGCTTTGATCGCCAGAAGTGGATATCCATTGCTATCTTGAAGAGAGATCTCCAGATGTGTACTGGCCTCCAGGTGTATACAAAGTGACTTTCGCTCATTATCAAGATTTTTTCATTCAATGATCTCCCAAATTGTCCAAATAACCAAAAGGTGGGTCAATGAATATCATGTTGTGTCGTTCTGTTCGTCTTTCCATCTCTTTGCGCGATCGCCATCAAAAAAGATCATCATAAGATGTAGGTGCGCCCACGACTTCGGTCCGAGAATTGTAAAATGATGTGAAGATACACCTGTGTGACCTTTGCGCGGCGCTGGATTTCTTGGGACTGATCGCAGCCATGGAGCTTGACCCTGGAGTCGTAGATGACTAAACATCTGATTCAACCTGCTGTTCTTACCTCTTCGGCGTGGAAGTCTTCCTCATGTCGATGTAAGGCGGCGCAGAACTCATGGAATCTCTCAAAACACCCCTTTTCGTTTTTCGCTGTTCACATAACTCATTTGGAGATGATATAGGCGGTGTGTTCGTGTGAGGGCTCACTGGGCCTAGAAGATGAGGAGCTACAAGGTTGGGCACGTATCGATCTAGATGCCAAGCCGCTAGTCACCCAGCCCTTTCCTAGATCACTTTCCAACGCGCATGCTTGCTCGAACAGCTCAGCCGTTATTGCAGGTTCATCACGACATCTGTTTGTATATCGGCGCTTTTTCGTTTTCAAAGATGATATTGTTTCAGCATTCTTCGACAATCACGCGTAAGCTCGTGGATTAGTATAGCATCCGCAGATGCCGTTGACCCCCATCATTTCAATGATCACTCATCCCGTCATCTACGCTTCCAAGTAGCCGCGCCGTTGGACGGAACCCATTTTTTCCGCACAGTCGCTCCGCATTTGCACTACGGCCATGGTGGCATTCCGGATGAATGTTTCACGTTGTACATCTGCAATAATCGGCCAAACAGAACACGATTTAGACCTTTTGCCACTGACCGGCCAGCCGTACCCCCTGTTCTTCCGAGCCGTTCCCCATGATAGCACGCTTCCGGATGCCGATTTGTGGGTCAAATGCCTCTTTTCGCATAGCACTGCTGTCAAGCATCGTCTGGACTTGGCTTTGGTGCTTGAAGTGCTTGTGCTTTGGGGCCGGAAATGACGAGGCTACAGTTCTTCTACCACTACAGCGGCCAAGCGCAATATTATGTGGCGACTAGTCGGTAATATGCAGGTGGCTCTTCAACAGATTATCTGGGGACCCAAGACCCTGCATACGTTTATATAGCTTCGTCAAGATCCCGTATACTCATCTTCACCTAACGCTCACGTCAGATTCAAACCTTCACCATGCGATTCCACGGTACTAATAGCACTTTGCAGCCTAGACCATTTCTGTACTGACGAACTCATAGCTGCATCATCATTGGCTCTTGCCACTGCGGGAACTGTATCTGCCGTACCTTCACCTTCTGCAACTGGGACCGATGCCTGCTACGTGACGAAGTACGCCGATATCCCGGCTGCAGTCGCAGCTTGCACTTGCATAACACTTGATGGCATCACCGTTCCTGGAAACTCAAGTATCGATCTTACGAAGCTGAAGACTGGAACCAAGGTTACGTTCAAAGGAAAGACCTTCTGGGAGTACGCCGATGCAAACTATGCCTTCATCAAGGTGGCAGGTACTAATGTCGAAATCACTGCCGAAGAAGACGCAGTACTTGATGGCAATGGTCAGGCTTGGTGGGATGGCTTGGGTAGTAATGGAGGCGTTACCAAGCCAAACCACTTCATTGAGGTGAAGGTGCTTGGAAACAGTTCAGTACACGACATCTACATCAAGAACTACCCGGTGCACTGCTTCAGTATCAGCAACAGCGCTGGTCTGGATGTCCACCACATTACGCTGGACAACAGCGACGGATATGCGCCCAACAACCGCTCCAACGGTCTTCCTGCAGCACACAACAGCGATGGATTTGGTCTGAGTAGCACCAATCATACCAAGGTTCGCGACAGTGTCGTTATCAACCAAGATGATTGTGTAGCTGTCACTAGTGGAGACAACATCCACGTCAGCAACATGTACTGCAATGGTAGCCATGGTCTGTCCATCGGGTCTGTGGGTGGAAAGTCAAGTATGTCATCCCATCATCCAGCTATACAATAATCATGTTTTACTAACCACATCTATTCAGACAACAACGTAACAAATATCTCATTCACAAACTCTGTCGTCCTGAACGCCGAGAACGGAGCTCGCATCAAGTCGAATTCCAACACCACCGGTTTCATCTCCAATATCCACTACGAGAACATTCGCGTTGAAAACATCTCCATCTACGGAATTGACATTCAGCAAGACTACTTGAACGGTGGGCCAACTGGCAACCCCACGAACGGCGTCATCATCCAGAACATCACCATGAAGAACATCTTTGGCACGGCAACAGAAGAGGGAAAGAACTACTACATCCTCTGTGGAGAAGGAAGCTGTAGCGGCATCAAGATCGACAACGTTCGTATCACCGGAGGCGGAGAAGAGAGTTCATGCAATTTCAAGACGGAGGGTAACTTTGACTGCGATGGACACTTTGTATGAGCTGGCTATCTCTGTACTTCCATATTTCATTCGCAGAGTGCGGAAACCATGCCGCGTGTCAACAGAATTGAATAGTCGTTCCAAGTACCGCGCGCTTTGATGGTTTCACAGACAATCCCTAGCAATATCGTTTGCAGTTTCTGAGGACCAGAGTTCAAGCGATAAGTTCTACTATGTGGGCCGGATGGATGGGGCCCCAGAGCGATGTAACACCAATGTTGTCACAATCGAACTACGCCGTACGTTCGGGTCATGGTGCTTCTTGACTTGCCTGCGCAAGTACCGTGTGAACTGCCCAGGTGTGCACGCGCCACGTGACGTAAAATTCAACGTTAACCGGGCGTCGCGCCAACCACCTCGCGCCGCATCCAAAGTTCAATCCGCTCCTGACTCTCGCCCAAACTTTGCTCGTCGTTTTGGGCAAACCGTTCGCGGTCTGGACGTCCTCGAGAGTACCGCGGCGGTTCGGGTCCCGAACGACGCCGTCGCTTTCCAGGGACACGCCATTGTGGATACGCGCTCACGACGACATGGAAAAGGCGCGATGGAGTTAATTACAGTACGTCTTCGTGATTAACGCTCCGTCCGATTTCACATACCAAGCAACCAAACGCTCTAGCTAAGGCTGTTATCTCGAACTACTGCAATTTATCCGGCCACTTCCTGCCCGTTATGGCAGAGTCCCGTCTCCTTACATTACCCTACACTAGTCGATATTTCCTTTGATCGCGCGTGGTTACGCGATGACCTCGAGCTACAAGGGCATCCTCAGCGATGACGGACTGCAGTGCGGCAGCCCAATTGTTACAATCACAGTCCCAAAGCGTTCATTCGCTGCTATCGTTTATGCATGGGGTACGTGCTCCTGCCGTCAGCACTCCATTCTGTCAGCCACCGCGTCTCAAGTAAGTCGTCGTGGGTAGGGCATTCGAGTGCTGATTGACGTGCGCGCGCTGTGAGGGAGTCCTTCCTCAATGTACAATGGCTGCTGTGCTACCTCGTCCAACGCCCGACCGGCTGTCGAGCTGCGATAGCTGCGTCTGCGTTAAGCGAAGGCGTGATGCCGAAGTTCGGCGTGCAGGAATGAATCCTGTCAGGTCCCACCAAAAATGTCACTCATCACGGCACCAACACACTTCGAGAAGTAACCAGCGGTGCGTCATCCAGGTACCGCGCGCTGCATGCCCCTTACAGGGCCTAGTGTTCGGATGGATTCGTTGCGGATGGCCTGTTGCGTTTCTGCGATAGGTGCGTGTTGCTGCACACCATGTCTGTGCGAATCATCGCCTCGCGCAGCCACTTTGTCCGGCCACGTCTCGACCCGGCTCGAAAACTGCCTTCAGACGGCGCTGAAAGAGACTTGAGCAGTCGATGCGCACACTATCTCTTTCATTCTCGTCGCTTTGCCCTCGTGCTCTCCCAGCCCCTACTACGGTTCCTTGCGGCCACCTCAAACACGCTACATATTGGCATGCCTGTCGTAGCCTCAGCCTTGCCCCAGCTTTGAGGCCAAACCAGGGCAGTGGTCATGTCGATGTTGCGCACGAGCGCCCCCGCGAGCAGCCCTCAATTAGCTTCTTCTACAATCCTTCCATACGCCTTCTAGAAGCGTGCCATTTCCGCATCCCCCGCTGCACCTTTGCGTGAGGTGATCCCACTTGTATATCAACTGTCGCACCAACAGCAGCTGATGCCTGCTCGGATACACGATTATCCACTCCTTGGCCCCTAGTCTTACCGCGACACCTGGATACCCTTCCCCACCCTCTTTTGCACCTCCGCCTGTCGTTCGTTCTAGTTTTCAGTCGTTTGGGTTGTCGCAAGGTCTTCATGGTCGGCATGTTGGAGTAGTCTTCTGTTGCGCGATTTGAACTGAGCATACGGCTCTCCCCTCGCCACAATGGAGGACAACCTAGACATACCGGAGGAGTCTATGCGACACATTGAGGCCCTGCTGGCGAGGCATCCTCCACATTTGATCCAGAGAATGTTTTCTCAAGCGATAGATTCGCGTACGTTTCTCGTTGTATTGTTTTGTGTGTACGTGCTCACCAAGTCTAGGCCGCAACTCTACAGCCTCGTCATTCATGTCTACCAGCACCGCGAGTTCATCTACAACATCCTCGTCAGGGTCATCATGGCGGTCTCGGCTTTCTATGGCATCGACATTCTCTTCATCTACAGGGAGCAGCGATACGCGAAGTTCCATTGCTTCCTCTTCGTCATCGCGCTCCAGGATGAGGAGGGCGGAGCCGCGTTCCTACCCAGCTGGTCTTGATCCGACACGTCCGGTGCCGGCTTCCATGCCTGTGGTGGACACTGAGAGTCCACTCGACCTCAAGATTGAACCGAGCTACACACCGACAGACGACATTAGTGTTGCTTCCCCATCGCTGAACCCGGATGATGACAAGTCACAGAGTCAGTCAGGCGAGCCATTCATGTTCTGTACGTATTGTGCCGAACAGAAGAGCCAGAAGACGTTCAAAGCAAAGTCTGACTGGAAGAAACATGAGATGAGGATGCACGAGACTGGAGAAGACTGGCCTTGTGTCGTCAACGGTTGCAACCGCATTTTCGACCGACAGAAAGATTTCATCAAGCATCATCAACGCTACCATGCCGGTCGACCCCTGCCGTCACTGACAGACATTGGCATCACGTTGTTGCCGCGAAGAGTGTTTGGTTGCGGGTTCGACAAGTGTAAAGAAGTCAGCATCGGTTGGGATGAGCGATGCGACCACGTCGCGAAGCACATGAAGAATGGCGCGACGATGGACCAGTGGAAATACTCTAATGTGATCAGGAACTTAATACGACAGGAAGCTCTCCACGACACATGGAAAGAGCTTATCGGTTGCCTGGACGAGAGATTGCGAGAGAGTCGGTCGCAGATTAGTTGGTGTCCCGACAACTCGCGAATCCTCCGACAGAAGCTCCAGTGCTGTGACCTTCGACCGAGCCGGGAAGAGGTTTTGATTACCGCCTTGAGTCTACGCGCTGATATACCCCTGGACCCTGTGCATCAACAGCTACCCACTGGCTTCGTAACACCCTCAAGAGATTCCGTCCCGCATGTTGAGAAGCTGTCGCGCGAGCAGCGAATGCACATACTCATCGGAAACTCCAACCCACATCACTCAAGAGCGCGGCTCGCGAGCATCAACGCAGCTTTGCTGCGCATTTGTAGTTCGTTGGCGCACGTGCCTGACTATGATTGCGGCTCGTCTCCATTTGTGGAGCCGCAGACGCCTGGTGCGCCCGCAGTGGATACGGCCAGCCGCCGTATCAGTTATATGGACGTGGACCCTGGAGATTACCTGGACGTAGCGCAACCGGCTATTCCTGAACTCCCACCGGCTATGACGACATCCACAATGCATACACCCCATACACACCCCACGCCAGTCATGGATCACGAGCAGCACACACAGTTGTACCAACAGGAGTACATGGACCAAGTCAAGGCCACACCCAACCCACTGGAATCACTGTATCCCAACTACTTCGGTGCTGCTCCCCAGTTCGAAGAGTCGCAGTACTACGACCGCCCGTCGTTCGGTCAAATGATATCGAAGCCGCTCCACAAGATAGGCAGTCGGATAAGCAGCTCGAGAGGAAGCTCTTCGAATCAGAGACCATCATCGCAGATGAGTCAAGCTTCGTCAGAGATGCTTCCTGACTACAGTGTTGCCGCAATGGGCATGCGTCACCCTCATCAGCATCAGCAGCCCCAGCATCACATCCCACAACACCATCAGCATTCTCAACATCCTCAACACCCTCAACATCACCTGATGCCCCAGCAGCATCAACCCTACCGCGACACGACATCGCAAATGCATGACCACATACACATGTACACCACACAAAGCTGAAGAGCTCACGTGCAACGAAGTCTTCATGTCCCAGTACTTTCATCAACGCCCCCTTTAGTCCTTTCAAGCGAGCATTTAGAGTTTTATTTGTTACCTCTTTTTTTTCTTTGATACCCCGTGCTTTCGAGCACATCTGATAGACTTGTACTATAAAGCATATCCATAGTATAGAGATGTTATTCGTGTGACGTCACTCAGTCTCTCGTCCTGCGCTTCATGCGATTGTCTGGTGAACATGATATCTTGTTGCTGAGAGTGTGGCTTCGTTTGGTATGGTCCGCGTGTAGTCATCCGTTCGCATGAACCCAACGGTGTTGTTCACCGTGAGACACAACGTCGGCAAGCTCCTGTCTCAGCCTATGCCCAGTCACCACGGCGTTCCCATATACCAACAGGACTATCGTCCCTTCTTTTTCCTTTCGTTCTAAGTGGACTTGATTCACGCGCTCAGCCGCGCATGTTTGCTCTTTCCTCGTTCACCTCGCTTATTAACGCCACTGCCTGTTACAGCCACCTTGGCAAGACCCTCACTCACCTCCTCCTACTTTTACACCCTCTCTCCACACTGCACCACTCTCACTTGCTTCAAGCTACTAACATGCAGCTACTCGATCTGCCACCGGAGCTCTTCGAGAGGGTTGTCGCCGCCCTTGCGCGTGCAGCGCCCTTCCATGAGCTCATTCGACTGCGCGCCGTGTCCCGTACACATTGATATTCGTGACAGTTATGGACGGTGAAGCTAATTGGAACAGGGACATTTGCCGGCGACATCGACAACGAACTTCTTGCGAACACGTCTGTTGCGGACTTCCATGATCGGTACCATCAACGCCAGCCGATCCCTACTAGTCTTGATATCCGGAATCCTCTACCTCCTCTGCATCAGCTACATGTTATATCGCAATATAAAAAGATTGTTGTTACCGACTCGATGGATACGCTTCCATCTGACATTAAGGGCTACCTTTTGAGCAACATCGAGACCTATCTGGTCAATCACATCGAAGACGCAGATATCACAGCCTCCGGACTGCCGAATTTTATACACAAGGTCACGGATAAGCTCATGGAATTTGCTACCGCAGGCACTGATCGTTCTGTTCTGCGACAGGACTATCTGAAGGCACTTATACATGGTTTAGTCCTTACAAACGAAGTCGCCCCACGGACTATGGTTCGAGACGAAACCATTGACGTTCCACTCCGTCTTTACAACAATCTTCAGACCCGGGTCGCGCAGCATAGCGGAAAGGGAACGGGACCATCTCAACTCTGTACAAGAGAATGTCAACGACATGCTGGCAGCAGCAGCCACAGTAGGGAGTCTCGCAGCTGTCCGTCACTACATTTCGCAATCTGCTGAGGTTATTGACTGGTTCCCCAAATACTTTGCTGGCTTTGGTAACCCTGTAACAGCAGCAGCCTGCAGTGGAAATGTCGAAATTCTTGAGTATCTGCTCATAGAAGTCAACAATGAGCTCACGGAGCGGCATTTCGCTCGGATACAGCACGGTCGTATCACTCGTTGCGGCCCACTCACAGAGACCATCACTTCCGCAATAAGCTTCGCAGTTCGGACCGGAGAACTGAAGGCCGTTGTCACACTGTTTGACTTCCTGTCAAGATGCCGCGTTGAAATACCGGCGCATATGAAGTCCCGGTCACACTACCTTGCCGATGCCATGAGGTGGGGACAGATGGACGTGTTCATATGGCTCATGGACCAATGGAATCCTCTAATCGCCGACCTGCCCTATTGGAGCGCCCTGACTGCAGGCTTACGCCTTGCGGTCAAATATGGCCATGCCAACATCGTGCGATACGTCTTCGACAAAGGGTTGATGGATCCACATGATACGGATGTCAACATCGTGCTCATCGCTGCGACACATGGTCATCGCGCTATCATCCAACTGGCTCTCAACCATGGCGTTCAGCTCACGATACAGGACCTCATCGCGGCGCTGAATGGATCACTCCCATTGCTCATCACTCAGTATCTTTTGCTTCACAACGTTCCACTCACGTCTGTGACCAACGCGGAAGATAGAAGGTCCATCACTACTTCCGTCGTTCCTATGGTCGAAGCGCTCTGTCGAGAATCTATCCACATCCCTTTCGGCGATTACAACGAGGTTCGGGGCAAGGAAAAGGTGCTGGCGCTCATACTCTTGGCGAGCGAGATGAGACGACAAATTCCAGAGCTTACGTTGGACAACTGTGTTGAGCTCAAGAAGGTGTTCGATAGGCTGGTCAGAGAGTGTCTGGACTTGCCAAGGGGGTCAGTTCCGTATCTTGAGATGGCTGAAGAGCTGCACAGCTGGATGGAGTGGGGAGACGGACGAGAGTGGGCAGATTGTGAAGTCTAGCGCAGAAGCATACGAAAGACACACCCCAGACAAGGAAAGACCTAAACAGGTTTGCAGACTACACTATTTCAGGACAGGCAAATTGGAAGACTCGGCGACAATATAGGCTCCAGAGTATTCGGTGTTTTCCTTGCATGAAGTGGGTATGCTGGGGAGCCTGAGAGGGAAGTGGACCGTTCTAAAACGTACAATCATATTCCTTCAGTGGGGAGACAGAGGCAATTAATAAGTGTGGCACCTCCGAGTTAGATTCGTACTAACTGTCTTGGTTCGTGACACTTCACTGACCCCTGCTGGCTAAGATTCCTGCAAGTAACGGCAGACGGCGACAAGCGGGTCTAAACTCGTGTACCATGGGTCTGGGACACTGGTAGCGGACATACAGTATGCAGGGAGAATTTGCGGGCTTCTATGCATGATTAGGGACGACATGGATTAATGGGAAAACAGTGGACTTTTGCAGAGTGCCTGACTGTCCAACTTGCCCCCGGCAGACCGGGGCTCGCCGAGTGGTCGAAACCCAATAACAATACAAGATTATACCATGCAGTCCGCGAATGTACGGAAGTAAAGTGACTGAAAATAGACGCGAGAGGGAGACATGTCGACGGACCGATTGCGCCTATATGTGGCTTACCTAACACGGCGCCTATCCGACCATCGTCATACACGGTCCCATGTACCAGGCGCGTGTGTATGTCACCGTTAGCCTTCAGCTCACAGTTCTTTTTCGGTAGACCCTGATCATATTCGATCATCATCTCCTCGCGAAGTCATGACACCCACTCGGTCAGCCCGAATGCCTTATTTCTTTGCATGTCCAGACGGGCATTGCTAGACGACAGGGCACATGTCTTCAATGGAAGGCTTGGACTGGCTGTCAAGACTTTGCCTCAAGACATGGCAACCACCGAAGCTCGACGAAGGTTGCCTCGGCAATCCTTGCAAGGCTTACTTAGGCGGACGGGAACGCGGTTATGCGGCACCGTAGTTCGTGAATACCGATACCACGCTCTGCTATCCGCAATCTTGTAGCTCGCTGTGAGGGCGTGGTTTTACCACGAGGTAAAACGGCGTAATGTGATTGGATGCAGAATTAGCGGCGTTCGCAGTGGAGAGAGCGATCTGGGGTTATCAGAGATTTCGCAGGATGGAGGACCAGCTTGGCGTGGGGCTGGGCGGACTGGGCGCCAAGGGAACGTGGTACAGCGTCGAACGCTCGTTCGTTCACCTTGACTTGGTTACACCAAGGCGATGGCGAAGACCCGCGACAAGACACAGTGGAGACTTAACGCGACACCAACATGCCATGCGGGTGGATCGAGCCCTGGGGGTTCCGTAGACCAATCACATGTCTCGTGCACCCGAACGCTCACCCCGGAGCGACGCTGAGGGTCCAGAAAATAGGTGCTGTTGGGCATTTGGACCACGGCCAGAGCCGAATAGCATGATATTGTGGCTTCGATGATCCACCGCGCCTCGAAGAGGCAGGCAACACCGTCTGACGTCCACAAAAGTCCACTTGCAGTGAAATGTCATCTGCGCCGCCAAGATCCCACGCCTCCGTTTGTATGCTGTGTACTTAAACTCCCCTGCACTCGTTCAACCAAACAGTCAGGACACCTCACAACACCTCAGCTTTTCAGTCAACCGGCGCTACTGCTCGCCACTCTTCACTAACAATGGCTCCCGCCTTGAAGAAGTACGACTGGATCCTAGCGATCACCACCATCGCCTTTGTCGCCTCGTCCGCCTCCAACGGTGCCAACGATGTCGCCAACTCCTACGCCACGTCCGTGGCTGCGAGGACCTTGAAGATGTGGCAGGCTGGTATTCTGGCCTGCTTCACTGAGTTCCTCGGTGCTGTCGCCCTCGGATCCCGAGTCACTGGAACCATCAAGAGCGGTATCTTCGCCCTCGACACCTTCAAGCCTGTACCCGGTACCCTCATGCTCGCCATGGGTTGCGCCGAGGTCGGATCCGCCGTCTTCCTCACTGTCGCTACCATCGCTGGTATGCCCGTCTCGACTACCCAGACCGTCGTTGGTGCTCTCGCTGGTGCCGGTATTGCTGCTCAATCTCCTCTCAGCTGGGGCTGGAAGAAGGGATCCATCTCCCAGATCGCCGCCTCATGGGTCATTGCGCCTTTCCTGTCCGCCGCTTTCGCTGCCGTCCTGTTCTTGACCATCAAGTTCGGTGTCCACAACCGCAAGGACCCCTTCAAGTGGGCTATGCGCCTGATTCCCTTTTACCTGGCTTTCACCGCTGGTGTCCTCGCTCTCTTCATCATCGACGAGCTGCCAAATGGCGAGTCGCTTGAGGAGATGGGCGCTGGCAAGGCCTGTGGTATTATCCTTGGTGTCTTCTTCGGCATGCTTGCCATCTCTTACATCTTCTTCATCCCTTACTTCACCCGCCGCCTTGTCAAGGGTGACACCAGGCTGAGGGCGTGGCACATTCCTCTCGGTCCCCTTCTGTACCGCGAGAACCCTCCCATTTACTTCCCCGGCAAGGGCGACCAGGTCGTCACCGACTACTACGCGAAGGCTGCCCCTGTCCCGATCCAAGAGAACGACGGACTCAAGGGTGAGAAGGCTGTTGGCCACTCCACCTCCCTCGACAACAAGTCTTCTGACAGCGACAACATTGACGTCGAGGGTGGCCGCGGTCTCTCCCGTCCTCTTCCCCGCGATGGCGCCGTTGCTCACATTGTCCCCGCCACCCCTGAGCCTGAGGAGCGCTGGTTGAAGCCCGTCGAGCACCTTCCCTTCTACTCTCCCAAGAAGATCGCCAACTGGACCAAGTTTATCCTTCTCCAGGGTGTCTCCCGCGATGTCGTTACCCAGAAGGATCTCGCCGATGTCCACTCCCGCGCTATTGTCTACGACAACCGCGTCGAGCATCTCTGGACCTACGCCCAAGTTGCCTCCGCCATGATGATGTCCATTGCCCACGGTTCCAACGATGGTAAGCTATAATTTCTGAAATCCTCACTTCTACACACATGCTAATCCCCCTTCGCAGTTGCCAACGCAGTCGGCCCCTGGGTCGGTTCTTACAACACCTATACCACTGGTGTCGTAACCAAGGAAGCCGACACCCCCATCTGGATCCTCGTCGTCGCCGGTCTCCTCCTCGGCATCGGTTTCTGGTTCTACGGCTACCACATTGTGCGCGCGCTCGGCAACAAGATCACCCAAGTCTCGCCCACCCGTGGTTTCAGCATGGAGCTCGGCGCCGCCATCACCGTGCTCCTTGCTTCGCGTCTCGCTCTCCCCGTCTCCACCACGCAATGTCTCACTGGTGCCACCATTGGCGTTGCGCTCTGCAACTTTGATCTCAAGGCTGTCAACTGGAAGCAGGTCGGCTTCATCTTCTCCGGATGGATTATCACCCTGCCCGGTGCTGGTCTTATCTCCGGTCTTCTTATGGTTATGGCGCTTAACACGCCCCATTTCTAAATGTCAGCTAGAGCTTTCTCTTCCTTTGGCCAGTTTGATCAGGTCCCTTTTTGTTATGCGATAAATGCACGGATGGGCATGATATGGAGTATGATACCAATCGTTTAATGTACCAAATTGTAATCTATAGAGTTACACACTGTGAGTCTGCCGAGAATTTCGCATGTGATGAGTGATTTTCGTGAATTTCCAACTCGAGGGAAGGAGCGTTTTGCTTGCAGTCCCAGAGCTGGATCAAGAGGTGTCGTCTCAATGCCCTCATCCGCTCGGCGATTTACTCGGCCGCAATGGATTACTGAACGCAATTCGCCACATCGTACCGTACAAACCCGAGCAGACTCAGCGACGACACGCGCAACAATACTCATTGCAGGCAAAACCGAAGGTGTCACTCAAACCGCGCAAAGATATAAGGGTGGAAGCAGCTCGAAGCCACCGAAAACGTTGGTATTCCCCTAAAAACAGCACAGCACAGCGCAGCACAGAACCCTGTCGGGGAGAGGCTACAAATACGGTCCAGTCTATCCTGACCCATACACTGCGTTGAAATAGATAAAAACGTGGTAAGTGTGTCAACGACACACGTACTCCATACGCCCAGCACAGTAAAACACCGCCGGCCCGAGCGAAGAAGAGACGGGCTTCAGGGCCTATGCATTACATCATAAAGCGAGGCTAGAAAAGGATGGCTGAGAAGCGAATTAAAATAGCGATAAGATGTGAGGAGGAGGAGGTGAGCAGATAGGACGGGGGGTATGTTTATGCGGTCTGCTTGCTCGACGACTGCTGGAGTTCGTTGACGAAAGCGTCGTAATCTGCGGCGGAGGAACCGGAGCCTACTATGCTGGTAAGCCATGGATCGGACCGGCTGCTTCTTCATCTTCAATAAGCGTCTGGGTTGGGGTAGAAAGAGGATGGCGAAGGGTGCTGCTGACCTTGCGGTGGCTCGTCGACCTTTTGGCGCTTCTCGGCGTAGTCGTACGAACCTTCAGAGCTGGTGTGCTTGTTGCCTGATGCGCCGTGTTGGGCGGCGGCTGCTGCTTGCGCTGCCATTTGCAGTTCGCCGATTTGGCGCTCCGAGAGTCCTCCATTGTTGTTGTTCGAGCCCTGCTGTTGCTGCTGTGGTTGCTCGGACTGTTGGGGCGGCTGTGGTGGGTTCGGTTGTTGGTGCATGTTTGGCTGTTCGTGGGGCCGGTTGAGATCTACACCAGCCGGCGCAGGTGGTATCTCGCCTTGGGTTTCGAGTAGTCGTGATTGCAGATTGATGATGTAATCGCGCAATTGGTAGTTCTCGGTTTGGAGCGTCTTGTACAGCTCGCATAGCTGCTCGAACTCCTTGACCTGGTCTTTCAGCTGCTTGATGTACTCTTCCTTACGCTGGCGGAATGCGCGCTGGTGGTGTTAGCTTGTGCCATTGGAATGCGCGCGTTGCATGTACCTGGGCAGCGCGATTCTGTGCGGCACGCTTAGATGTCGACAGCTCTCTCCGTCCCTTGGAGCGACCCTCGCTCGTGTTCCCATCGTCGGGGCCGGCGCTCA